CGACAAGGAGCCGGCGCTGCCCGGGGGTCCGCCTGGGGCAGCGGACGGAGGGAGGCTGGACACATGAACACGGTACCGCTCGAGGTAGTCCTCCTCGCTAGCCTCCGAGTCAGCGGTAGCCAAGCCAGCAGTGCTGGTTCTTTTCGGGCTTGTGTTTTGTGTGTGTTTGTGCAGCTTCTCGCTGTGGACTGTGTACCTGCCGGTTCAGCTTGTCCTATACTATACTCTCAGTGGTAGCCGCCCGTGACGGCGGCGACGCCGCGGCAATGCCCAAGGACCGGCGTGACCCGACCGATGCCGGGGAGGAAGCAGGCGAGCTCGGACCAGCAGCAAGCACCCCAGTGGTGTCGAGCTCTCCGGAGGCACCCGACGTCACAGTGAGGGACGGAGACGCCTCGCCAGCTCCGCGCCGATCGTCGGGGCCAGATGAAGCGGAGGGTACCGTCCGTCGAGATGGCAAGAGGGATGAACGCTCGAGGAGGAGTATGACATAGGATTTACTGGCAGAAGGTAAAAAGTGCCTCAAGCAAAACGCTCGAGGAGGAGTATGACATAGGATTTACTGGCAGAAGGTAAAAAGTGCCTCAAGCAAAACAAAGCAGGAGTAGTCATGGCATATGCAGCGCGATGTTTGCGAATCTTCTCAGACGCTGCAACATGGGAAGTATATAGGATTTACTGGCAGAAGACAAAAAGTGCCTCAAGCAAAACAAAGCAGGAACAAGCTGAACCGGCAGGTACACAGTCCACAGCGAGAAGCTGCACAATCACACACAAAACACAAGCCCGAAAACAACCAGCACTGCTGGCAAGTGAAATGTGTGGTTCTGTACGGTACGTGCGCTTCCCCGGTGGTCCCCCACCCGAGTACTAGACACGCCCATGGTTGCTGGAGGGCGTCGAGGTTGACCTCCCCCCACTTGGTCAGGTCGGCGTGTATAGGATTTACTGGCAGAAGATAAAAAGTGCCTCAAGCAAAATAAAGCAGGAACAAGCTGAACCGGCAGGTACACAGTCCACAGCGAGAAGCTGCACAAACACACACAAAACACAAGCCCGAAAAGAACCAGCACTGCTGGCACCCAGACGCGGCATCACCAGCCCAAGCGAGAAGCCGCGCAGACAAGCAGCCTAAGGGTCAAGCAATCAAGCAACAAGCAGCAGGAGCATGCAGGAGGAATAAAATCCCTTAGACGCGATACCCTGTGTATAGGATTTACTGGCAGAAGGTAAAAAGTGCCTCAAGCAAAACAAAGCAGGAACAAGCTGAACCGGCAGGCACACAGTCCACATACCCGGAGGATATAGGATTTACTGGCAGAAGGTAAAAAGTGCCTCAAGCAAAATAAAGCAGGAACAAGCTGAACCGGCAGGTACACAGTCCACAGCGAGAAGCTGCACAAACACACACAAAACACAAGCCCGAAAAGAACCAGCACTGCTGGCACCCAGACGCGGCAGCGCCAGCCCAAGCGCGAAGCCGCGCAGACAAGCAGCCGAAGGGTCAAGCAATCAAGCAACAAGCAGCAGGAGCATGCAGGAGGAATAAAATCCCTTACACGCGATACCCGGAGGCAGCCGACTGACCACTGTCAGTCGAGACGTCCGCTGCCGCCACAAAGCGGGCGGCCGCGGACGGAGAAAGGGCAGCCGCCGACAAGGAGCCGGCGCTGCCCGGGGGTCCGCCTGGGGCAGCGGACGGAGGGAGGCTGGACACAGGAACACGGTACCGCTCGAGGTAGTCCTCCTCGCTAGCCTCCGAGTCAGCGGTAGCCGAGTCAGTGGTAGCCGCCCGTGACGGCGGCGACGCCGCGGCAATGCCCAAGGCCCGGCGTGACCCGACCGATGCCGGGGAGGAAGCAGGCGAGCTCGGACCAGCAGCACATTGAAGCACCCCAGTGGTGTCGAGCTCTCCGGAGGCACCCGACGTCACAGTGAGGGACGGAGACCGTACGCCTCGCCAGCTCCGCGCCGATCGTCGGGGCCACTCGAAGGGTTTCCCCCATCGGAGTCGGAGACCTCCGGCGAAGACTCCTCGGGCGACTCGACAAAGTCCGAGGAGGAGCTGTCCTCTGGCTCGAGAAGCCAGTGCTTGCGCCCGCAAGGGCGTCATGCGCCTCGCACCAGACAAGAGCGCTTCCAGCGTAAGCTGCATGGTGAGGCGCTGATAGGTGGCGGCGCGTTTGCGAGCCAAGACCTCAGCAGCAGGGCCGTCATCAGGCACGAAGTGCCGACCAAACGCCGCATCCTCAAGAGGCATTGAGCGCTGAGCAATGATGTCCGCCAAATACCAGATGAAGCGGAGGGTGTCAGGATGCAGGGTACCGTCCGTCGAGATGGCAAGAGGGATGAACGCTCGAGGAGGAGTAGTCATGGCATATGCAGCGCGATGTTTGCGAATCTTCTCAGACGCTGCAACATGGAGGGCGTCGAGGTTGACCTCCCCCCACTTGGTCAGGTCGGCAGAGCTACCAATGTAAGGGTGGACCAACGTCACGTCCGCCATCAAGCCCTCGTACTGCTCGGACCCTCGATCGCGGATTCCAGGGATGTGGATATCGCCCTTCATCTTGCGGCCATGAGGATGGGAGGGTACCTGCCGTCGAGAACGAGGATCCCCCACTGTATCGATGACGCTCTGAAGACCAGCTTCGTTCAGCATCGACCGAATCGTACGAGTAAGGTTGTCATGCGCCGTGGGAAGCTTGGAGGATCGGCGTTTGCAGGTCTGGAGATGATGTGCAGCAACGGAGGGATCGAGCTCGCGCTGACATCCATCACATTCCGTCGGACACTGGCAGATCGGCATGCCATGATGGAGATAGCAGTCGAGCATCTGAGCATAGCGGTGCGGGAAGGCCTTGAGGGGGTAGTAGCTCGAGACTCGCATCGCCGAGTGGCTCAGGTCTCGCTCAGGAAAATGAGCGAAGATGGTAGACTGCAAGACCCTATCCTGCGACTTGAGCGAGTGTGTCCTGCGGCTGTGCAAGGTGAGGATATCACGCTGCTGATCGGTCAGCGCAGCGCGAGCATGCACATGGCGAGGGAAGACGCGCATGACAAGAGGAGTCACATTTCGCTGCGCAGGGGGAGGAATGAAGTGCTCATGAGACGAGTCGACGAGGCGTCCTGCGTCATCAGGCACAGCAGCCGGGGCAGGTGGGATCGCCGCGCCATCTGCAGCCGGTGCAGGAGCCTTGACACGACGGTAGAGGATCGCTCCAGCATTATGAACGAAGTCGTGCGCCTCAACGAAGAAGGTCGCCAGAGGATGCTTCTGGGCACGGAGAGATCTCGAGCAGTGAACGTCCAGGCTATGAGGAGAGGGCAGCGTCCGGGACATGGGCTGGTCAGAGTACCAAGCGAGGAAGCGAGCGATAGCCGTATAGTAAACAGCGGGGTGTAGACCCTCAGAGGGCGTGAACTCGTCCCCTCCTCGACTATGCGGAAGCTCCCGCTTGAACCTCGCAAACTCGAGCCTGAGGTCGGGATGCGCGGCGGAGGCAGCCGACTGACCACTGTCAGTCGAGACGTCCGCTGCCGCCACAAAGCGGGCGGCCGCGGACGGAGAAAGGGCAGCCGCCGACAAGGAGCCGGCGCTGCCCGGGGGTCCGCCTGGGGCAGCGGACGGAGGGAGGCTGGACACAGGAACACGGTACCGCTCGAGGTAGTCCTCCTCGCTAGCCTCCGAGTCAGCGGTAGCCGAAACCAACACCGCCCGTGACGGCGGCGACGCCGCGGCAATGCCCAAGGCCCGGCGTGACCCGACCGATGCCGGGGAGGAAGCAGGCGAGCTCGGACCAGCAGCAAGCACCCCAGTGGTGTCGAGCTCTCCGGAGGCACCCGACGTCACAGTGAGGGACGGAGACGCCTCGCCAGCTCCGCGCCGATCGTCGGGGCCACTCGACGTGTGTCCCCCATCGGAGTCGGAGACCTCCGGCGAAGACTCCCCCTCGGGCGACTCGACAAAGTCCGAGGAGGAGCTTGTGTTTTGTGTGTGTTTGTGCAGCTTCTCGCTGTGGACTGTGTGCCTGCCGGTTCAGCTTGTTCCTGCTTTGTTTTGCTTGAGGCACTTTTTACCTTCTGCCAGTAAATCCTATACTACTCCTAGGAGCTGTCCTCTGGCTCGAGAAGTGCTTGCGCCCGCAAGGGCGTCATGCGCCTCGCACCAGACAAGAGCGCCTCCAGCGTCAGCTGCATAGTGAGGCGCTGATAGGTGGCGGCGCGTTTGCGAGCCAGGGCGGCCGCCCGCTTTGTGGCGGCAGCGAGGGAAGACGCGCATGACAAGAGGGGTCACATTTCGCTGCGCAGGGGGAGGAATGAAGTGCTCATGAGACGAGTCGACGAGAGCGCGCAAACCAGGGATGTGTACCACAGATGCCGGGGGGCGTCCTGCGTCATCAGGCACAGCAGCCGGGGCAGGTGGGATGAGTCGCCGCACCATCTGCAGCCGGTACGGTGCAGGAGCCCTCACACGACGGTAGAGGATCGCTCCAGCATTATGAACGAAGTCGTGCCAGTGCGCCTCAACGAAGAAGGTCGCCAGAGGATGCTTCTGGGCACGGAGAGATCTCGAGCAGTGAACGTCCAGGCTATGAGGAGAGGGCAGCGTCCCGGGGACATGGGCTGGTCAGAGTACCAAGCGAGGAAGCGAGCGATAGCCGTATAGTAAACAGCGGGGTGTAGACCCTCAGAGGGCGTGAACTCGTCCCCTCCTCGACTATGCGGAAGCTCCCGCTTGAACCTCGCAAACTCGAGCCTGAGGTCGGGATGCGCGGCGAGGTACTGCGAGGAAGGCCAGCGGTGGTATTTCTCAAGCGCCAGGTGGACAGAGAGGTCAAAGCGACGAATCTGTGATTGGACCCGCGGGAGAAACGGAGAAGACCCCTGGAGGAAGAAGCGCACTGCGGCAGCCTTCTGGAGATGGCTCGCCCTCACCAGCGCCGAGGCTTGAACATGAAGCCATGCTGGACGAGCCCGAGCTTCGAGAGCTCTTCGTTGAGGGTAGAAACCTTCGCTCGGAGCTGACTAGCATGAAATCCATCCGTGCCGATAGGCAGGCCGCCAAGTGTAATCCCGCCAGCACAGTGAGGGACGGAATAATGGATTTACTGGCAGAAGCCTGTAAAAAGTGCCTCAAGCAAAACAAAGCAGGACAGTGAGCGCCTTTTTACCGTACCGCCGTCTTATAGTAAAACTCTGGGCCAGTGGCCCTGCACTGAAGACCCTAACCTGCGACTTGACGCGGCCTAGTACCGTCCTGAGGCCGCCCGGCTTTGCAACTTTGAAGGTGAGGATATCACGCTGCTGATCGGTCACTTGAAGCGCAGCACGAGGATGGACATGGCGAGGAAACTGACTCGGGCGGTCGGGGGGTCCGAGCCTTACTAGGCTCCGGGGCCCTGAGCGCCGCCGGGTTCAACCTGACCGCCACTGCCGCCAGCCTAGCTGCCAGTCACAGTGACTGCCGGGGCCTCGGCTGACTCAGCAGTGATCCGACAGTGCGGTAATCGTGTTGAGTTGCAAACGGTCGACGGCTTCCGTACAAGTATGTCTGTTTGTTTGCATGAGAGCCTCGGTCAATATAAGAGTAAAGTAGGAACAACACGCCACCGGGCTGGGGGCCCGGCCCCGGGGCCGCCGCCGGCCGCCCAGCCTGCCAGTGACTGAGGGCCTACTATGATGATGCTGGCGCGGGCTCGGACCACAGCCAGTGAGACAAGATGGAGGGGATGAGGGCTCAGTCACGGAAATAGCGACATAGCGAACACACGATGGAGCGACATGAAGTAGTTGTGGTGGCACGAAGGGGAAGAGGACCCTCGTCCTCCTCGTCCTCGTCCTCCTCGTCCTCCTCCTCTCGCTTCCTCCTGCCCTCTGCTGCCTCTGCAGTTTTACTCTGCCTCCTAGCTGCAATTCTTTTTGTTTCAAACGAATCGTCATCGAGCAGGACGCATTCACTTGGGACCTCAGCTTTGCTTCAGAGGAACCCTATCATTTCAGCGATAGTGGAGCATGAGGGAAGAAAAGTTGCGCCGTCAGTGAAGAAGGAGAAAGCCATGTCTTCCATGATGTCCTTGCGCCGACAAATGTCAGTCACTGCGCGCCTTCTCATGTCTTGCACTTCCCCACGGATAGCTGACGGTCACGGCTCCTTGCAGGTTCGAAGATCATCCATGGGACCTCGCGAACCCCGAGGGAATGCCAACGATGGACGGCAAGCTGATCTCAGCAGCTCAGATGTTCGACGAGGCTGGCAGCCCTCCTGTCCTCTCAAAGAAAGCCATCTCTCAAGGGAGCAAGCCAGCAAGCCATCACGCCAAGAGGGACGAGAGTGAGAAGACTTGTTGTTGTCCCTCTCCCTCGTCCTTCATTCTCTCTCGCTGATTCTTGTCTTGCTCGTCATCTTTCAGGTCATTCTGCTGAGATCAACGCTGTCCTCGCCTCCGTCTTCCAGCAGCAAAGCAACGTGCGTCCCATGCAGGTCCTTCCCTGCCGCTCCTGCCCGCGCCCTCCTCCCTCTCTTTCTAAGGGGCATGTTGCAGGCACGTCCTGCAAGTGCGATCAGGGAGCCTGAGGAATCAGAGGAGGTGAGGAGGAGCTGGGGGTTAGAGCATGTGCCCAGTGAGCATGGGCGGCAGTCCTCGAGGGGATTGGCAGCGCAGGGGATGGCTGGACAGGCACGGGCAAAACAAGCGGGAGGAGAGCAGGCACGGGCAACACAAGCAGGAGGAGAGCAGGGCTTCGTCACGGGCTCGCTGCTTCGGGTCACTCCATCTGAATTTCACCGAGAGATGAGAAGGTGACAACAGTGAGGCAGTCGTAGGTGTATGCCTAGGTTGCGGAGGTGTATGCCTAGGTTGCGGAGGTGTATGCCTAGGTTGCGGAGGTGTATGCCTAGGTTGCGGAGGTGTATGCCTAGGTTGCGGAGGTGTATGCCTAGGTTGCGGAGGTGTATGCCTAGGTTGCGGAGGTGTATGCCTAGGTTGCGGAGGTGTATGCCTAGGTTGCGGAGGTGTATGCCTAGGTTGCGGAGGTGTATGCCTAGGTTGCGGAGGTGTATGCCTAGGTTGCGGAGGTGTATGCCTAGGTTGCGGAGATGTCTGCGTAGGTTGCGGAGGTGGGTGGAGGAGGCGGCGCGGGGCTTGGGAGGAAGAGATTCTATCAATCTAACTGGAGCAGGTACATGCCTTCAGCCAACGGAAAGCTCGTGAGCGCGTTTCAGTGGTTCGAGAGTGCAGGACGTGAGTCTTGGTGAGATGATCGCAGGGAATTGACGCTGCTGCAGGATCTCCTCCCCCTCCTCCTCCAGCAAGACGAGCTTGAGAGCACGTGAAATCATCTACATAACTTATCTTGTTGTTACATGCAAGGACAATTGACTCCAACCTCTGATATCCTCTCATCTCACTCCTCCTCCTCATCTCGCTCCTCCTCCCTCCCCTCTCGCTTCTCTTCTCGCTCCTCGCTCTCTCGCCCTTCACAGAGGCTCATCGTCTATCCGCACTGACTGAACTTCTCGGAGGAAGTGAACCACCTCCCAGCGCTCTGCGGAGCTCGCGCATGTTCCTTTCATCTCCTCGTCCATCAGTTTGTTCGTGCGAGCCGCGTGCTCTGCGTTGTCTAGCGGCGAGTTGCCGTCTTCGTCCTTGAGGAACACGTCTCCGCCTGTCTCTACAAGAAGGCGAACGGGACCGAGCCTGCCTCACATTCAGGTGCCGACGGGAGAGGAGCGAAGGAGAGCAGGTCGTCACCTCCCCGCAAGAGCTGCGAAGTGAAGGGACGAGGAGCCGACGAGATCAACGACGTTGACGCAGCTGCCGAAAGTTCGCAAGAGCATCTCAATGCTCCTCTCTTGCCCTGCAAAGGCGGCGAAGCGAAGCGGTGTAGCCCCCCACCTGCTCCAGCTTCAGCTTCGCCTCCTCGAACGATGCTAACGGTTGGTGGAGGAGGGGTTCGCTCCTGTGATCATCGTCACGACAAGGCGATCGACATGAGTTTGGTCACCTGCTGTCACGAGCACTGACATCACTTCCGTGTGCCCGTGAAGAGAAGCGTAGTGAAGAGCAGTCGCCTCCTGCAGCCGAGGGTTCCTGCTGTTTGGATCGTGTCCTTGAGAGCTGCGGCGAATCGTCAGCAACTCTCTCCCTCTCGTCCTCTCCTCCTCCCACATCAACTCTCGAACCCTTGTGACGTTTCCTGCTCGCGCCGCCCGCCAAAGCCGAGAAATCTCTCGCCGCCGATGCTTTACTCCTTCTGCTGCATTCTCCTCCCTTTCCCCCAAGCGCGCTCTCGACTTCGACAGCGAAGACTTCCAGGGCTTCTGGACCTCACAGAGGACAGCACGAGTAGCGTTTTCTCATCCTCAACGGCTGGGTCGGAGTCCTCATAATCTTGTGGAAATTTCAGGCGAGCAAGAGAGAGGGAGAGGGAGAGGGAGAGGGAGGGAGGGAGAGAGAGAGAGAGAGAGAGAGAGAGAGAGAGAGAGAGAGAGAGGAGATTCACCGTCTGATCCAGTTTGAGTTCCTCTGGTGGCACGCTGAGTCGAGTTGGCAGCCCGGGAAGAAAGTCATGACGGATCTTGACCACGCTTCCGTACTTGCCGTCAGCAGTGATGACGTCATCTCCCACCTTAAATTGCTTCCCTCTACTGTCTGATTCACCTCCCCTTTCTCTTTCTCCCTGGCACGGTTAGGAGCTTTCAGCACTCTACGGCATATGGGAGTGAACATGCTCTGCTCGGTCCTCAGCTTCTTCCTCGTCGCTCTCGCTCATTCCGGCGTCTCGCTCAAGTCGCTCAAGCGCTTCCGTGTATGTCTCAATCAGATCGCGAGCTTCTGGTAAGCGACTGCCTGCCCGCAAGCGATGAGTCTTGAGGGTAGGCAGGTGGAGGAAGCAAACGTGCAGCAGCTCCATAGCTCTGCTGTGTGGCTTTGATGCGAAATGCCCGAGCACCTGAGCAGCTGTGCCGAGCGATGGGCGTCACAGGAGCACATCACACCTTGCTCGGGTCCTCGATAGTTGGCAGGTCTGGAGGTGGAGGGGCAGGAGCAGTGAAGTTGACGCAGTTGACCAACTTGTCCACCTCCAACTCATCGCTAGGAGGTAACGACTCTGACACGGGTTCGAGAATCCGAAAGGACTCTGCTTCCTCTTCCGCTGAGTTGATCGCATCCTTCATGTTGGTCTCTCCGGCCCCAGGGCTCGTCGGCATATTCTCATCCGTCATCGCCGATGGCTTCACCTCAGACTCCTTGTCGCTTGACGACTTGACACTGCTCTCCTCGCTGCGACAGCATGCGGAAGATCCTCATGCCCTCTGGCTCTCCTGATGACGCGGCTTTTGCTTCTCGTCGCAACAATTTGTCGCAGAAACTTGGGCAAGCGGATCAAGGAGACCATGGAGCGAGGAGAAGATCTCGAACCCTTCGCAGCCACTCGCACCCAACCTGTTGAAGGCTCCGTCGCACGACATCTTCACTTCTACACCAAGCTCAGATCAGTATGGTATTTTTCCCGCACAAAGTGTTCCACCTGAGAAAACACACGTCTCTGTCGGCCAGAAACAAGAAGAGAAAGGCGATCAAGGACCACATCCCCCCTCTCCAGAAGGAAATGGCGCGGGAAGCAATCAGAATGGAATGAGCGATGCCAATGAACATGGTGCAAGTAAGTTTGTGGAGTGGTTTGATACAAGCTTGCTTCATCGGAAGGAGCCGACAATAAGAATCGAATGCAACCATCAGACGACAGTGATGACGACACGTGTATCTCATTCAGACGACAGTGATGACGACACGTGTATCTCATTCAATACACAGAGCCTGATGACGACACGTGTATCTCATTCAATACACAGAGCCCACAGTCTCAAGGTAGGGTCGTCTAAGAGTTCAGTGCCACAGGTTCTCTTGCCGTATTTATTGACTTTGTGACGTAGATTCATCACAACCATCTCAACTCAGTCCAGACATGACGGGCGTCAAGTATCCCAAGCACATGGCAGGTTCAAATGTTTCTTATCTGGGATTGGATCTCAAGGGTTCCAGGTCTATAGTCGGATCCAACCGTGTCCTCAGTTCCCGTCCTTCCCTCACTTGTTGCTTCCATTGCTTCCATACCCTTCTTGGCTTCTTTTGTTCATTTTCACTTGCGGGGAGATGTGTCGAAGAATATTCTCCCCAACAAGTTGTCAGCACGAAGAAGTTTCATGTGTAAAGTTTCATTTCAGCTTGCGAACTCTCTTCTCATACGCCTCTATGCTGGTCAAGTCACCCTTGGCTCCACTCATGGCTTCTTTGAAACGCGTTAAGATTTCTTTCAGCTTCTCACTCGTCCACCTCTCCTTCGCAATGCCGTTGAGCAAGATGAAAAGTCCGCTGTCGAAGCTGCTCGGCCTGTATCGTTCTGACGGCCTCCGCTGGTGCTGCGCACCGTCACAGAAACCATGCTCACTGGCTCTTGTGATGCAGACGTGTCCGCAAGACCAGGCAGAGGACGTGAGAAGCTTCCAGAAGGGAAGCTCCTTCCATGCCGGCACGACGACGACGAACAGCATCTCCCCCTGCGATGCCTCCAGGAGCCTCTCGATCTTCTTCACCATCGCCTCCATCAGCTCCGGCACGAAGGGAGGGTTTGCCTGCATCTTAGGATCAGAATCATAGCTCGGGGCTCGTGGGGCGAACCTCGAACTTGCCGTCCGCAGGGCAGAAAGCAGGCGAGAAGAAAGAGCCGAGGCTGCCGAAAGGTGTATCCGTATCCTCGAAAGCAGAGCAGAACTTGTCGTATCTGCAGTTCAAGGGAGAAGCGAAGCATTCAAAGCTACACTCCAGCTGCTGGTAGAGGACATCGAAGCTCTCTCCTCCCAGCGCTGCCTGGAACCCATGCCCTCCCAGGGCTTCGTATCTCAGCAGCAGCACCATGATGCTTGTGTGTAGTTGCGCCAGCTGTTCCTGCGTCAAGCTGCGCTTGCTTAGGCCCCTGGCCCTGCAGTAGAGGGTCTTGAGCTTCTCGTAGTGAGCTCGTCCGATGCGCATGTATGGCTTCGCGTCTGGCTCTCTCCAGTGAAAGTCAACGATCCCTCCTTGGAAGACAGCGTGGGTCACGTCAGCCTCGCTCTCTTCCTCTTGTTGCTCCTCCCCCGCGAGTTTCTCTGCTTCAGCGCTAATAGCGCTTGCGATCCTCTCGGCATCATGCTCCTGCATGCCGCCCCTGACAAGGTCTTTGATGAGCCCTTGGTCCGATCCTCGCATGCAGGGCAAGAGCGGCTCTGCCATCACTTGGTTGGCGGCAAGTTTAAGCTGCTCATCTAGCTTGCTTCGGCACTGCCATCGCTCGAACGCGAGCAGGGGGACAGCAACTCCAAGCTTGCTGCACGCTTTGTGCAGCTTCGACCTGAGCTTCTTCATCTTCTGGAACCTCCTGAGCTCTGACGCCGCGCTCGGCCCCGGCTGACATGCTGCTCTCTTCTTGACGTCAGCAGGCATGCGAGGAGTTCGAGCAGAGACGGTTGAGGCCCATATGGCGTCGTCCGGTCCTCGCTTGCGCTTCTTGTTCCGATCATCTCCCATGTTTCTTACGCAGCGATGGTACAAGGAGCGAAGAGGACGAGTAGCGAGAAGGAGAGAGCGGGGGGTGGTAACTGAGTAGGAGTCAAAAGAGGAGAGGGAGGAAGAGAGGGAGGAAGAGGGGGAGGAAGAGAGGGAGGAGGAGACGGAGGAAGAGAGGGAGGAGGAGACGGAGGAGGAGGGGGAGGAGGAGGGGGAGGAGGAGAGATGGGGGAGGGGAGTGAAGTCATTTCTGTCTTTTTCTGTTCATAACTGTTTCTGATGAGGCGGGCCAACCGTTTGGATAAAACTAGAAAAATGCTCCCTTGAGGGCATCAAGAGAGAGAGAGGAGAGGAGAGGAGAGGAGAGGAGAGAGGAGAGGAGAGGAGAGGAGAGGAGAGGAGAGAGGAGAGGAGAGGAGAGGAGAGGAGAGAGGAGAGGAGAGGAGAGGAGAGGAGAGGAGAGAGGAGAGGAGAGGAGAGGAGTAGAAGATGGTGTATTCGTTTTATCGATCAATCACCTGCGCACAAGCGAACAAGTTCATCCAGGCAGGAGGTTGCTCTACTTGAGACCATGAGGAAGAGTGACGTCGTCGTCCTTGTCACGCCCTTCTTCGCCTTGCTGATCATCTCGACATGCAATGGTGGTAAACTTGCAGCGGAGGAGAAGACTGCATCCCTGCCTGTCCCTGTCTCGGAGGTGCGGGAGCTCTGCAAGCTTGACGTCGAAGACTTGCTGGTGGACCTCGATCCCTCCTGCCAGCGCAGGAGTACATGCGCAACCTGCCATGTTCCCGCAAGCTTCTGCCTGGGAGTGGCGCCGATATGGCTGCGACTGGGTAGAGGAGGTGTTGGTGTGAAAGGAGGTGACGAGGGGATGGCAGAGAGGACGCAAGAGGCAATGAGCGGCGTTGCGAAGAAGCTGCTCGCGTGCTCTGCTGTGAGCCCTCCTGCTGATGTCGCCATGTGAAGCGATTGCAGGTGAAGCGATTGCAGGTGATGGAGACCTGGGGGGAGGGAGGAAGCGGCTGGAACCGAAGTCACCATGGAGAGCGCGAGCTCGAAGTAGACGGGGCCATGCTCTTGGTAAGTGAAGCAGCCGGTCAACGATAGTGAGATGGTGCAGGCACACTTGTCGTTTTCTCGCTGTGCTGTGTTTGGTCTGCCGCCAAGCATCTTTTCTCCTGGCCTGCTGAAGCTTTCCTTCCTCCCAGTCAGGCTCCTCATCCTGTGTGTTCCCGTCTCAGGTTCGGCAGGTGCATGCAGTCGAGCAGGGGTGGCTTGACTTGGTGGTGGCGTACCGGCGTCGCCTCGTTCACGTTGAGATCCTGCCGACGGGATGGTGCGACGAGGTGAAACTCAAGGTGCACAACGTGAAGCTGAGGAGAGTGAAGGTGACCACCATCGTTCTTGACGCCTCTGACTGCCTCTGCAGCTTAAGCTGCCTCAAGCTAGTTTCTTCGAGTATCATTCCTGGAATGAGCAGAGGTGATGCGGCGATTGATGTGCTCGCCTGACCTCAGCGGCTTCTTCAGGCTGCTGCTGACTGTTGAGACTTGCCGGCTCGTCTTGTCGCCTGCTCAGGTCAGACAACTACTGGTAGTGTTGGTGGTGCTCACAAATCCGCAGAGCAGGGAGATCGGCGTGAAGACGAGATGCTTGAACGACAAGGGGCTGGTAGGCGTGAGAGGAAGAGAGCAGAGGATTGATCTTGACGTCAGGATCCGCTAGACAACCTGCACCTGACGCCGTTTCGGGTAACAGCACAGGAGACGTGAAGTATGCCTGACGAGTCTCCTGCTCAGCTCGACGTCGATGAGACGCTGAGAGCAGACGAGAGCAAGTTCAAGTCGTTTCTGCTCAACTCGACAGCATTGATCGCTCACATGACAGGAGACGACGAGGTGACAGGACGCGTCGACTCTCTCGTGTCACTCGTGTCGCAGGTCAAACATCTTCCTGCTCCAGCTGCTGACTGGTGGAACTTCTTCGCCAAGTCTGCTTCCTCGTATCCTGAGCTCGTGGACTGCTTGAGGTCTGTACCGTCTGCTGCTCGTGATGGCGCTGAGAGCGGCTGATGGCAGTGACCTCTCGCTCCCTGCCTGCTCCACGCACAGCAGCCTCTTGGCTTCAATTCCTCCGTAACTCCCTCGTTGCCTTCCTCTTCCTCTTCTCACCGGCTCTCAGCGTCGATGACGTGCGGACGAGCCGCCGAGTGTCGCCGCTCATGCAGGTCACGTGACCTTGTGGGACGAGGTCAAGGAGGCTGCTGACGTCGGTGCCTTTCAGGCGGCACAGGAGTGTGAGCTACGAGAGATGAAGTGAGAGCTGCTCCTCTCAGCCTCTTTCCTCACCTGCTCTCAGATCGCTTCTCGAGATCTTCGGCGCGAGTCTGCTGGTCTCCTCCCGGTCCTCTTCCCCATCCGCTTGACTTGCTGCCTCAGACGCGAGACGCTGACGGCAAGTCTGCTCTCCATCATGCCGTTGGCTCCAACTGCTTCGGTGTGAGAAATAAGAGGAGGAGGAGGAACATGGTGATGACGATGACGAGCAGGGGGTGTTGTGCTCTTGATAGAGAGTGGAAGCAAAGTTGATGAACAAGACAGGTCTCCTCCTCCTCCTCGTCCTCCTCTCTCTCGACGTCTTCTGACTTGAATAGTCTCGGATACACTCCTCTGATGCTCGCGATCCGATCGGTGAGGAGGGTCGTGGTGACTTGCCTTGACTCGCATGCTCAGCGCGTCCTCGACCTCGAGATCGTCCGGCTCCTCCTCTCCGCCGGCTCCTCTCCCTTCCTCGTCGACCAGAGCGACCAGACGGTGCGAAGAGATCGGAGCAGCTGAGGAGAGAGGGCGGAGGGGGGGGGTAGAGGAGAGGGATTAGGAGGGGTAGAGGAGAGGAAACAGGAGGGGTAGAAGTGAGATCGGAGGAGAGGAAGGAGGAGGGGTGGGTTGCTAGGACTCACATGCTTGACTCAGGCTCTCTGGTGGTCATCATGGCGCGGAAATGCGACGACGGTGAGATAAGCGAGAAGAGGAAGACGCAGGCGATGCTGCTGCTGCTGCTGCTGCTGCTGCTGCTGCTGCTGCTGCTGCTGCTGCTGCTGCTGCTGCTGCTGCTGCTGCTGCTGCTGCTGCTGCTGCTGCTGCTGCTGCTGCTGCTGCTGCTGCTGCTGCTGCTGCTGCTGCTGCTGCTGCTGCTGCTGCTGCTGCTGCTGCTGCTGCTGCTGCTGCTGCTGCTGCTGCTGCTGCTGCTGCTGCTGCTGCTGCTGCTGCTGCTGATGATGATGATGATGATGATGATGAATCTTGGGAGACGGCTGTTGCGATCACCCAACATCAGTCGAGACTTCTTCTCGTCTTCTCTTCTCATCAATTTCCTCTCGTCAGGTCCGCCTCCTCCTCTCGCTGTGGTGTCCAAGGAAAGATTGCCTCCTCCTCCTCTCAGCCAAGAATCGCTATGGTCGCACACCCCTGGCTCAGGTTGACTCGTTCCTGCCCCTTCTCGACTCTCCTGCCATCCTCCTCCTCCTCCCCCCCCCACCTCCTCTCATGCTGTTCTTTCCTCGCTTTGACTCTCTTCTCCTCGCGGTGTTTCCTGGGGCTGCAGGGTTCTGCCATGGGCCACAGGGAGGTGGTGGAGGTGCTGCGGGAGTACGGGGCAGAGGAGGAGGTAGCGGAAGCAGAAGTGAGAGGAGGAGGCGAGCCACCGGTCTCGGTCAAGCAAAAAGCGAGCAGAGGCAAGGAGAAACGAATCGAGGCGGAGAAGGTAGCTGAAGAGGAGGAAGAGGAGGAGGAAGAGGAGGAGGAGGAGGAGGAGGAGGTTCTTGAAGGTCTAGAGCCGGGGAGTAGAGGATGAGGGTAGTTGTTCATTGCGATGGTGAAGGTAAATGTCTATGTAGCGTCCTCTATGCCGCTTGTGCATCTCCTCCTCGCTCCTCGCCTTCCCCCACCTTCACGCTCCTGTTCTTGTCTTGCACGAATCGAACGACTGAAACCCACGTGAGCGATCAGTGAGGCCGGGAAGAGGAGGGAGGGGGACCAAAAGATGATGCCAGGGGAGGAGGTTGGTGGGGGGAGGGGGAGAGAGGAGGGGTGAAGTCACCGGCGTCCACGAACAGCTCCGGAAGCTCTTCCATGGGGCAGTGGCCGCAGTCCTCGACCACCTCCAGCTGCCCTCCGGTCAACCTGACAGACTGTCACCCCCAGCTGGACAGGAGCTGAGCGACCTCGACAGACTCTGGCTGTTAGCGCAGCTGAGAATTCGGTCTTCCCTTCCATGTAGCAGGAGGATGCGTGCAGAAGCACCTGACAACACTCACCTCCCTCCCTCCCTTCCTCCCTCCCTCCTCCCCAGTCCCCTAGCAGACCCTCCTCATCTCGCTCGTTCCCCCGCCTCTTCGCCTTTTGCCTCTCACTTGCAAGCTTCTCTTCGACGGTCTTCCCGCCTGCCTCCTCCCATCTCGATCGCACCATCTCTATCAAGCTCCTGCTACACGTCACTCGCTCCCCTCCTCCTCCTCCTCCTCCTCCTCTCCCCACCTTCCATCCGTCAGGCGATACCGGGAGAAGCGGATTAGACCTCCCGACCATCCTCTGCTCCTTGTCATTCACCCTCCAGCTGAATTTCAGCTGCGGTGTTACCTCACCCAACTTCCTCGCTGATATCCCTTGATCATCTCCTCCGTCAGCCTCTTCCTGCTCCCTCTGTCACTCCCTGCCTCCAACCTACCTCCTCGTCCTCCTCCTCGTCCTCTCACTGTCTTTGCCCCTTGCCTTCTCTCTTCCTTCTTCCTCTCTCCCTCTCTCTCCACCTGTCGTAGTAGGCGAGCGCAAGTCCCTTCCTCCAGAAGTCTTTGCTGCCCAGAAGATGTCAAACAGAGACGCTGTTTGGAAATCTCGCAAAAGAAGAGAGGAGGAGGAGGAGCCGGAGGAGGGGGAGGGGGAGGGGGAGGGGGAGGGGCTGTGACGGTACCTATAGACGAGTCGTCGAAGAAAAAGCGACAAGACGGGAGACAAGAAGCGCAAGAGCAGCTGAAGGGAAGGTGAGGGGAAGGAGAGGGGAAGGAGAGAACCTGAGTGAGATACGCCGCCAAGGAGGAAGTCACCACCCGAACCACCTTGACTACAAGCTGAGGCAATCGCAGGAGGCGAGCCGGACCTCCTCTTCCTGCTGCTGGTGCTGGTGCTGGTGCTGGTGCCGGTGCTGGTGCTGGTGCTCCTCCTCCTCTTCCCTCGGCTGCTGCAGGAGCTTTCTCATGCGCTACTATGGCTGGAGCCACGAGGACGAGGCTGTCGACGAGCGTCGGGTGAGCGAGGAGGAAGTTGGCGGCCACCAGACCCCCGAGCGAGTGCCCGACGAGAACCACAGGGAGGTTGCGAGCTGCGAAGCCCTGGAGCTGGAGGAGCTGGAGGAGGAGAGGCGAAGGGTCGTAGGTGGCAAGTGCTGGTCCTCTCCGTGTGAGACCGAAGCCTGGCATGTCGAAAGCGATGACATGCGCCTCAAGGACAAAGTCAGAGGAGAGGAGAGGAGAGGAGAGGAGAGGAGAGGAGAGGAGAGGAGAGGAGAAGAGAGGAGAGGAGAGGAGAGGAGAGGAGAGGAGAGGAGAAGAGAGGAGAGGAGAGGAGAGGAGAGGAGAGGAGAGGAGAGGAGAGAGCTTGTCGATTGAAGGTGTGAATGAAGGTCAATCATATGTCACAAAGTGAAGGATGGATGTGCGAGAGCAGTCAGGATTCCTTCTCTCCCCTTTCCCCCTCCCCTCCTCCTCCTCCAGCGTCTCTTCTCTCACCTTGAGCGAGTCAGCCAGGGGCTGCAACACGTTCCGATAGGAGGAGCACGAAGCTCCGAAGCCATGCACGCACACGACAGCGACGTCGGGCACTCCTGCTGGCAGCGCCTCCAGGTAGTGAACCTCCTCCTACAGCCCCTTCAGCGACATGCCCTCCTGCTCCTCCTCCTCCTACGTCACCTCTCCAACGCGGAGGAACTTGCTGTCCTCGTACTTGACCTCCTGCTCGCTGTAGAGTCTGGCACAAGCGTCATGGCACGTCTCTCGTCTGTTCGTCTCTCACGAGGCTTCAAGGTCTTTCTCTGATATGTAGAGTTTCGACATCAACCTCCCCAGCACGAACGAGATCACCGCTCGCATGATCCCCATCGCCGCCTTGTATGAGCTCAGCTTCGCCAGCTCCATGCCTGCGCAGCTTCACCATCCACACCATCTCCTCCTCGTCCTCCCCCTCCTCACCACAGTTGGAACACCATGCTGCAAACCCACAGACAGCAGCGAAGCACAAGGAGGCTGTGTTCTCTCTTTGCGTGAGCTTCTTGTAGCCGGGCGAGGCATCAGGATCGAACGGCTTCCTCCCTCCCCTCATCTTCACCTCCCGCCGCCCTCCCCTCCCGACCTTCTCCCAGCTCCTCCTCCTCTCCCCCCTCGGCTGCTTCTCCCAGCTGGGATGGAAGCCCACAAACGACAGGAGCCCTCTACTTCTCTCTCCAGCTACTCTCCAGCCCCTCCCCAGCTTCTCCCCAGCTGCTTCTCCGACTCCCATGCTGCTCAGCCACAGCGCCAGCAGCAGCCATGCTCGCATCCCCACCCTTACCCCTCGGTATCGGGGTAGGGGGAAGTGCAGAGAAATAACGAATAAGGGACTATGAAAATATGACTAAGGTGCTGCCCCCACCTTGCTTTCTCAAGTCATCGGAGAGAGCGATGAAGCAAGGTAGGAGGGAGGGAGGGAGGGAGGGAGGGAGGGAGGGAGGGAGGGAGGGAGGGAGGGAGGGAGGGAGGGAGGGAGGGAGGAGAGGGGGGATCGAGGGATGGCGACTAGAGGTAGAGAGGAGGGGAGATGAGACGGCAGCGATAGTCTGGAGAGGAAGGAACCTGAGCTTCGTGACCCCAGGAGAGGAGCTCTGAAGTCACCTGAAGGAGGAGGAGGAACTAGCGGGCCAGCCATCTCACTTGACGTGCGCAGGTTGCGAGAGCGTGGGAGGCTCTTCAATGGTCGAGTAGGGCGGCAGCGGGAGGATGCGACGTGCGGGAGGAGACGAAGAGGTTGACCGGACGCGCTTCCTGCTGCTGACGAGCGTCCTCGTCCTCGTCTCCTTGTCCCTCCTAGTCGACCCTCGTCAAGACATGCGAGTCGAGCTGGAGAATAAAAACCCACAACTGCGGGCAGCACAGAAGGTAAGATGGATGTTGCTGGTGCTGGTGCTGGTGCTGGTGCTGGTGCTGGTGCTGCTGCTTTTGCTGTATGATTGCATCGGCAGGAGCTTCAAGATTCTTCTAAGAAGGTTCAAAGTTCCCTCAAGATCCTCGAAGAAGTTGAAGATGATGTGAGAGATGAAGAAAAACTGACCTCAACTCTTCCCTGCCTGCCTGCCTGCCTGTCTGCCTGCCTGTCTGCCTGCCTGTCTGCCTATCTGCCTGCCTGCTGCTGCTGCTGCTGCTGCTGCTGCTGCCCCTCGTACCTCGTGCCTCCTCGTCCTCGTCCCTTGACCTCCATTTCTTTCAGGTGCCAAACTGGATGACGGAACTCCCAGCTGGGCTCGTGCATGATGCTCTTCGCGGCCTCAGCTCAGCTGGAGGCAACTGGAGCTCTCGAGCGAAGCAGGAGAAGGATCCTCGAGAGAGAAGCAGCGGCAGGAGGAGCTTGAGGAGGAGGACGAGGAACGAAGGAGCACAAGAGGAGAGGAAGAAGGTTGGCAGGAAGAAGGTTGGGAGGAACCCCTTGCTGCTCTCCCTCATCTTCCTCTTCAGCAGGCGAAACTTCGACTCTACAAGCTCAAGCAAAGGAGAGATGCTCCTCACCGGATCCTGTCTTCAGCTGCTCCTGCTCCTGCTCCTGCTCCTGCTCCTGCTCCTGCTCCCTCACCTCCTGGCCTCACCTCAGCTGATCGTCTGCTGCTGGGGAGGCTCTTCGGCTTCAACACGGTCTTGCATAAGCTGAGCACAGTGAAGCACAAGACGTACAACCTCGCACTCCATGGTGAGGCGACAGAGAGGAAGCGCATGAATGATCTGCTGCTCCTTAGACGCCGGCACGCACCAAGAAGATGAAGGAGCTGCTGTGAACTCGGTTCTCCTCCTCTTCTCCTCTTCTCCTCTTCTCCTTTCCTCCACAACTTATCCCTCCTGTTCGTTCTCCTCCTCCTCCGTCTCTCCTTCTCGTTCGCTGTCGTTCCTTAGGACCTCTACTCATCCTCCTCCAGGTTGTCTCTCAGGCCGACATGCGGAGGAGCAAGCGAGTCGCCGACAGCCCCGAGCTGCTCAAGAAGTTGAGGGACAGGAGGAGGCAGCAGGACCAGCGACAAGCCCAGCTGAAGGTCACTTGCTCCATCCCCTGCTGCCTCCTCCCTCATGCCCGTGCAGAGCGAGCAGCAGCTCGAGCAAGCAGCTCGACATCTGCTGGACAAGGTTGACACGAGCAGGTGTGAAGGGCAGCTGAGAGGCAGGTGGGGCTGACGCGGGGGGTGGCAGAGACCCCTGGTTGAGATCCATCCTCTCGAGAATCGCCACTGATACTGCCAAGGCGAGGGACACCCACCCCCCTTCTGCTCCTCCCCCAGCCCCCCCCCCTCCCCAGCACAGCTCTTCCTCGTGCTGCTCGTCCTGGTGATCTTCCATGGCTGTTTCCCACTGACGTCAAGGCAGACGGAGGTGGCGAAGGAGAAGATCTCCCGCATGAGAAGCGACTTGAAGGTTTTCATCTCCTCCTCACACCCTCCCTGATGATGCTCGCTGAAGGTCTCTAGGAGGGAGCAGGGCTTGAGGTGACCTGACTGCTGCTGCCTGCTGCCTGCTGCCTGCTGCCTGCTGCCTGCTGCCTGCTGCCTGCTGCCTGCTGCCTGCTGCCTGCTGCCTGCTGCTGCTGCTGCTGCTGCTGCTTCGCCTTCTCTTCACTCTCACTTGCCTGTCTACAGCAGCGACAAGCAGGAGCCTGGAAGCATGATCTTGGACCCACACGATGCCCAACAGCGGTACTGTGCTCCTCCTTCTCTCCTCCTCTCCTCAACATCTTGCAGGAGGAGGGTTGAAGCTCAGCGCCTTCTCCAACATCTTCTGTCCTCCACTCACGACGACTTGAGCCGCATGCGAGCTGCTCGCTCCTCGCGTTCTTCGCGTCTGCTCCACCGCTACTCCCCACTCTTTCATGTGAGCCTTTACTTGTGCTTGTGCTTGTCCACGTGCTCGTCCTTGTCTTCGCCCTTCCTCTAACTCTCTGTCAGAGTCCTCGCTCATCGCACGCTCGTCTGAGTGAGGAGGGGCGCGGGCGTCACTTTCATGGACTTGACAGCGACGAGGGGAGGGGGCGAGTTGACCGAGATGGTGGAGGGGGAAGACGAGAGGACGGGGGAGGAAGCGAGACAAGACGGTCAGGAAGCTGGTTCGGAGAGTTGGGGCGAGACATTGCAGAGGATGTGAAGAACGTTGTATAAAAGGAGGAAAAGGCAATCTTGTCTTCAATCTTGTTTTCAATCTCGTCTGTTACAGTTTCATTCTTTCATGATACAACTACAAGCACTCTACGTTCTTCCTCCCTCCCACTCTTCCTTTCAGTAATTTCGGATGTCAAAGCCTGGGGGAAAAGATAAGGTGACAAGTAGAGGAGAGGAGAGAGGAGGTGAGGTGCAGGAGACTTACGGCTGCGCTGGAAGTAGGCAGGCGCTTGTCGTCCTCCATGACTGTCTGGTGCCATGGGGGGTCCTGGAGTCTCGCAGAGTGAGAAGGGAAGGAGAGGGAGGAGGTGGAGAAGCAGGAGGAGTAGAGGGAGGAGGAGGAGTGAGGGAGCTACCTTGCATCCCCTGCATCCCCTGCATCCCCTGGCTGGTGCCGTCCATGGGTCCGGACTGAAACATCCCGGCAGGAAAGAGAGGACTGTAACAACTGTCAGGGCCTTCGCAGGGGAGGAGGAGGTAGTGGTGGTCCATTTGGAGTGGCAGGGGGTGGTCTTACTTGAAACTCGTCCCCATGGACAGCGGCGCTCCTGTCCCCTGCTCCATGAAGAGGTTGATCCCTGCGCTCGAGATCGGAGGGGAGGAGATCTCTCCGAGGAGTCCGATCTGTTTGGGAGGCTGCTCGTTGAAGGGGGGCCGTGGGCCGTTCCCCCAGTGAGGAGGAGGAGGAGTGTTCTTGTGGCCCATGGGGGGGAAGGGAGCTCCGGCGCCTGTGAGGCTCTGAGGAGGAAGAGCGGAGGGGTTCCCAGGAAACAGCGACGTCCACATGCTCTGGGTCATGTGGGTGGAAGGAGGCTGGATCCCGCAGTTGTCTGGAGGACGATCTCAGCATGACCGAGTGAGGAGAGGAGGACGGGAGGAAGCAACAGAGGAGTAGAGGACGAGGAAGGAGGAAGGGGCTGGAGGCGCAGAGATGCAGGAGGGACGGAGCAAGGGAAGGATGAGAGGCACGAAGGAGGAAGGGGAGGGAGGGTGCATGAGCGGCAGCAACGAACCTGACAAGAGTGAGTGCACGCTCCCGCTCAAGGAGGAAGGTTGGAAGACAGAGTCAGTCCCTGCTGTTCCCACGCTCGTCATCTGCGACGGAGGGTTCTGCAGCAAGGGATCGTCAGACTTCAACGCGCGAGCAAGAGATTTCTCTTACCTGCATGTTGGGTGCCGGATAGGCCGAGCTGGAGGGACAAGCGCATCAGGAGAGCGGCAGGAGAACCAGCAGACGTCACCTCGTGCTCATCGCCGATTGCATCGCCTGCACCTCCGCCATCTGGCAGATCCTGTGCGCGCGCTTCGCCGTCTCCTCCGTGGCGAACTCGAGCTCGGCTCGGATGCCATCAGGCGAGACACGGAGAGACACCTGGGAGGAGGCAAGTCACGCTGAGGCTCCTCGATCTCTACGGCTCTACCCCTTCGAGCGGGTCCAGCAGTTTGATCTTCAGGTGTGCCTGCGACCACAAGCTCGACCAGTTGACGATGAGCAGCGTTCTTCCTTTGACCTCCGCTGAGATCGGAGGATTCTCCTCGTCGTTGTTCCCCTCGTAGCTCCCTCCTCCCCACGCTCCCGCAGCTACTCCGCTACCTCGCGCTACACTCGCAAGCGCGTTGCTTGCGGCCTGCATATTGGCGTTGCTGAAGAGTGAGGGCTCAAGGGTGACGAGGGGAGTCGGCTTGAGCTCGTTGTTCGCATCCTTTCCCATGGTCATCTTGTACACCTCGAGCTCCTCATCGCTCAGGAAGACGGTCTTGTTACCAACTGTGTAAGGTTTGCGCCTGACCTCCCCGGAATCTGTCAAGAAGGTGAGAGGCACAACTCGCAGCTCAGCCTCCCGCGCTCACTCGTCTTGTTGGGATCCACCGGAGTCGCCGTGTTGTTGCTGCTGCAGGCGTTGATGATCTGCGACTCCGTCTCCACCTTCTTCATTGTCCGTTGCAAGCTCTTCAGCTTTCTGAACGGCCATCGCGTGATGCCGTAGGAGCGGCACAGCTTCTTCAAGGACGTCAGGCAGATCCCGAGCTCCTTGGCGACTGCCTTCTCCGGCAGGTTGAAGAACTTGGAGAGCTCATCCAGTCGCACCTGAGTTATCGTGTCATCCTACGAGGACAAGACGGTGAGCGCACCTCTCTGTTGAGGTACGGCCGGCCTGTCCCGCTGCTGGGAGATCCTTCAGTGCTGGGCTGATGGGGTAGTTGACTGGAGGACAGAAGGTCAGTCGGAGCATGAGTGCTCGAGGACAACCTGGCAGGCTGCATGTCGTCTCCGATATTATTTGACATCACGTTGCTGGTATCCATGGGTGGCCAACTGGCTTCACCTTATCCTCGAATGGCAGACAACACTTGGCCCATGGATCTCTTCCTTCGTTTGAATCTTGAGAGGATTGCTCGTGAGTGTTTCGCAACAAAACATTCTTTTCACTTAACAAACAACACAACCGATAATATCAGCACGCGATCTCAATCTCAATGATATGACTATTCAAGTCTGTCATAAAACCCTCCATCTTGTTGACATGTCTTGCTTCCCGGGTCCATTTCCCTGGTCTCACCCACCATAGCATTCTACAACTTCAGGATTGGCCTTCTAATTCAGATCATAAGCTACCATGTGATTGATGCTGTCACACCAAGTACTGCCAGCTGCTGCACTCAACCCTTGGCTTATTTGATAGACTGTTGAACAAACATTGCAGCGTGACAGAGAGTCAGACAGGTCAGCACTACCAGGCACAGACAGTTCAAGTGCAGTAATCCAAAGTCTCATCATGCAGATTTCCTTCTTGTTGCTATCTCCACCTTCTCCTCCTCTCTCTCGATCGTTTCCTCCCCCAAAGGCCCCTTCGCAGCCATTGCCTTCGGCAAATGCTGGACCACCCCCGGTCAGGACTACCCGACCCCTACCATATTCCTTTCTTCACCAGACCCACCCTTATCTCTAGACTTCCGTCAGGTCCCCAATACCACCCCTACTTGGTAGCCTCAAACGTACCAACCACGTTCAAATATTGGCCACCCCACCCTACTGTAACAAAGATGAGCACCCCTGCTTAATTCATACCGTGTTCCACCCCACCCCACCCCTCTTTTACAGGCAACCACTGTTGTCAATTCCATGGGTCTAGGAACCCCTCAATCACCCACCACCCCTCATCAAGTACCCCCCATTTACACCTTCCGATCTCATCCTGTCGGGTACGGGTAGTGTCCAATCAACTCTCCTCGTACCCCTCCTCGAATATCAACGAGTACCCTATCCTGTTCACTACCCCCCTATTTCACTGCATTTTACCTGAAAAACGGGGTAGGTCGAGTACCCACGACGGGCAGGTACCCCTTATGTGTGCATGCGAGCAGGCATCACCCTGTGGCCACCCTGCTCACCTCAAGTTCAGAAGACTGGATTTTTGTTCAATTATTCAATTTACAATGAATAATTCGAAATTGAAATTGATTATTTCAAACAATACAGGGAAATGTTTGCCTGCAGGCAAGAGGCGGATCCACACTATCAACAGCACCGGTCATCGCCTCTTTAATTTTCGGGGTTCAAGGGGTGGGTAACATATGATTTCGTGAGGGTGGGGGTAGTCCGGCTCTTCAAAACGAGAGGTCATGTCCACGACTATTTCTGGATAAAATTCATCAAATACTTTACTCAACAGTCAAACCCGGCCCGGCCGGGCCGCCGGGCCACTGCCAGTCACGGCGGCCTGTGAGTGGCCGCGGCCGGCCAGTGGCATCATCATCGGATCACGCGGTGACACTGAGCGGCCACAGCCGCACTGGCTCAGCCGCCGGTGACTCGCCAACCGTACGGGCGGGGCGCCGCCGGCGAGACACGGTCACCCGGCCCGGTCACACGCAGCCTGACCGCCAGCCTTAGTGGCAGTACGCCGCGACCAGTGATCCGATCCGCCGACTCCGGGGATCAGATGGCACGGCGGCGGTCCGGCGATCCTGGCGCCGCCGCCGGGGGCGGCCGCGCGGCGCCGGGCCGGGCGGCCCGGGCGGCACTGCGGCACGGTCATCCGCCGTCACAGTGACGCGGCCGGGCGGGCCCGGGGCGCGGCCAGCCGCTGAGCCGCGCCCAGTGGGTGCGGCCGCGGCGCCGGCCGCCGGGGCCCGCCGGGCCCGGGCTCCGCCGAGTCCGGGCCCGGGCCCTCAGGGGCCCTTGTCGCCGGGTGGTGACTCAGTGGCACTTCCGCCGGCCGCCGGGGCACACGGTGGCGGGTCGGACCCCCGGCCCGGCCCCGCCGCCCGGCCGCGCCCACTGGGCCAGGCCCGCGCCGAGCCTGAGCCGCTAGTACTACTGAGTTTCAAGTTCAGGTTAGACGGTCCCGGCGAACTTGACGGCGGCCTCAGGAGTCACCGCCCTTGTCACCCGTCCACGTGACAGTGACTGATTTTTTTAAACCGTCACTAGTAACTTTGAGTGAACACTGAGTCACTGAGACGGCGCGTTGGCGGCCGGGCATCTGAGTCCGGTTCGATCCGTACGGTCGAGTCCGCCGCCGGGCCCGGGGGACTCAGGCTCCCGGCACCGGCGGTCCAACTTGACAGGGCCCGGCGGCTGGGCGGCCCAACCGCCGGGTGTCACCGTGCGGCCCACTGGCTACCGTTGACCGTGTCACTGAACTTGAAGTTAAGGCTACCGTAGTACGGTGCACAGCAGAGTCACGCCGACTCGAACGAGTCACGTACGGAATCACCGTGACAGTTCCGCGGCAGCGCGGCCTTGGTATCGTGATCATCGCCAAAGTAACGTGATCGGAACATAGCCTGATACACATCACGGACGACTTGCTGCGGGATCATGCCATACGTGAAGCATCGCACAAACTCGAGAGCAAGAGCCTTTCTAAAGCTGATACGCCTGCCGTCACCTCGACGGGCCATGTGACACAAAGAGTATCACATGTCACATGTGATACAAAGAATATTTTCGTGAACATTGAGATAGCTCCACTATCTCCTGTCCAAGTAAGAGAACACGGAGAAGCATTCAGAGTAAAAGAACACGGAGAAACATTCAGAGTAAAAGAACACGGAGTCAGAGTCAGAGTAAGAGAACACGGAGAAACATTCAGAGTAAAAGAACATGGAGTCAGAGTCAGAGTAAGAGAACACGGAGAAACATTCAGAGTAAAAGAACATGGAGTCAGAGTCAGAGTAAGAGAACATGGAGGAAGAGTCAGAGTAAGAGAGCATGGAGGAAGATTCAGAGTAAGAGAACATGGAGGAAGAGTCAGAGTAAGAGAGCATGGAGGAAGATTCAGAGTAAGAGAACATGGAGGAGCAGTCAGCCACCCATGAGCTGAAGCCAAGAGGCGATCGTGCTAGTGAGTGCAGAAGACACTTGAGGAACATGGCTCACCAGCTCCTCCCAGCATCCCTTGCACTGTTTCTTTTGATATGCAGATACACCGTATCGCATGTCTGCATGAGATATCGTCTCTACAGGAGAAACAAATCTCTGCGTCAGTCCTGCATCTGTTGAAATAGGTGGAGAACAGGCTGCTTTTCGTTCGAGTGAGGCAAGTGATCATCTGCGAGTGAGACTAGGAAATCATACAACCGTCCATTGTCAACCTCATTTGATCATGGTTGGCTTAATAAGTCCGTTTGAATTTCTACATTGGTAAATTGGAAGCTGCAACATAAACATAATACATCACTGGTAATGCATATCATGCTACACTTCGTCTGTCTCCATTGGTACATTGATGTACCAGTCTAGCCAAGACTTGCTCCAGCCCTCGTCCCTCGCACCCCCACAAGCGTTCCCCAAGTCTTCCTCCCCGTCATGGTGCTCGCCCATGTGCTGGCCCTCGCATCGGTGTCTTGGCGTCAGCTCTGGTGCTCCCATGCTCACGTTGAGGGTCGTCGTAAGCGCCACGGTTGTGACTGCCGTCTGTTCCTCCACCGGCACGCCTTGCACAGGGGGAGCGAGCCAAGGCGAGTAGCTGCAGCCCAGCTCTGCAGAGGCTTGGTACAGGGCATGCGGCGGGGGGCATGCGGCGGCGGCAGCCAAGGACGGCGGAGGAGGAGGCAGGCTGGTGACCCGGCACTGCACGCCAAGCTGGCCTAGCGTGGAGGGCGGGGCATGCTCGCTCGGGGGGATGAGGGCGGAAACGCTTCCTGCCCCGTCAGGCAAGGGCGAGCACGGAGCTGAGCCTGACTGGGGCGAGGCCGAAGGAGGAGAGGAGAGGGAGGCAGGTCGATCCCTGTTACGGGAGTAAGGCCACTTGTTGATGCCGAGAGATCTGCAGGCGTTCTTCATGGCGGTAAGAGAGATGCCCTGCGGAGAGAGTCAGGGATCAAGAGGGGAGGAGAAGGGGAGGAGGGGGCAGTACCAGGTGCTTAGCTGCCTCAGTCTGACGGAGGTGGAAGAGGCTTGTGATGGAAGAGGCGTTGAGGTTTATAGCTTGGTTTGCTTTCGCATATGATGTTGTCTCTCCTCTTTTCTTTCGTGTATATATAAGATGCGTCGGATTGTCCTGAAGGCTGCTAGTGTTCTTGTTCATTGTTGTTGGTGAAGCAACGTGGTCTTGTTAGATGACAGAAAGATGTGTGGGGTTGTAGACTATTGATTGCAACTCAGGATTACAGATTTCAGACTATGATGTTCTATGGTGTATGATTCAGGTCAAGGTGTGTGTGACTGTGATTGTCAGCAGAGCACTTATGAAGAAGGAGATGCGAGAAGGGAGATGCGAAGGGATGGGAGGACGAGAGGCAAACCAAGGCAAGATAAGGAGGGCAGACTGCAGGGGCCCGTGATGGTAACGTGATTAGCCCTATTTCTTTTTTCTTCCCGAAGAGTGAGAACAGAACGTTTCAGAATTCAACCTTCTTGGGCTTGAAGGAGTAAAGGACCCCCACCCCGTATGCCCCAGCCGCAGCCTGAGTGAAGGTGACCGCAGGCTGAGCACCGGTCCCACTTGACTGGTCGACATGACTGAACCTAGTACTGATCTTTAACTTAACTTTCAGTAAACTACTGTGACTGAACTTCGGAACTGCCCGCCAGGGCAGCCTGAGCCTATGCAGCCAGTGATTGTCTTCGTACTGCCATTTTTAACTTAAAGGCTTTGAGTAAAGACTGAGAGGCAGGCTGAGCCCGGCCGCAGTTCATAGCGTTGCTTTTCCGGCCGGGCGCTCATAGGAAAAATTGGCAAGATTTTTTTTTTTCGAAGGGCCTGTGGGGTCCCTTCATTTCATGCCATGTGGGAGTACCCTACTTTGAGAAGGCGTGTAGGAGGGTACTCGCTCTTAGGAAAATCGTTGCTGCGCAGGGCCAAAGAGGGGTAGGGTGATTTGAATTTGGTTGCTTGGACACCTCACCACGCCAAACCAAAGTAAAAGTACGAATTTTAGAAGTATCTGTGGTACCAACTTAATATTGCAGCGTTTATATGGTACAAAACCAGGGCCAAACTGGTCGGAACTTCGACTTCCAAGAACCCCTCCGTTTGACTTTCGTTGGGGGGTGGGGTGGGTATGGAGCACCCTCAACTACCCACCTTCGAAGCAGTTTGAAACTCTGTGATAGGGGGTGGGGGGTAGCCCCCATTTCTCATTCCCCAAGCCCCCTCTCCCTGGACGAGCAAGAGGCGATGAAATGGTGCCTTCCTGACTCGCGAGGATGAACCTTGATATTGAGAGACTTCGAATCCAACCCAACTGAGATAGAAATGAGATGAAGATCTCATATCATACCTGTAAGAGATGATCGAGCTTCTTTCTCAACTCTGCAGGTTGGGCCAAGGTTTGAATCATCCATCGTGTACTGGAATATGCACCCTAGGTACAAACAATCCGCGTGTGTACTTGAAAATATTCTTCGAAGACAAGATGAAATTTTCATGAACAGCTAAGCAACTAATGATAGATTCACCATTGAACAGAATCAACTCTGATTGACCCTTCTTTCAAATTGCCGTAGGTTGAACGTTGAGCTCAAATGCATGATTTGTGAGAAATTTGTATATCAAACTGTACCTTTAGCGACTTTGCTGTCTAGATATGTGTTCTCATGTCATCACTCACTTTGAATCCTTCTAGTCTTACGGTCAGGATTCATGCACCTCACTTTTCTATAGAGAAAGCTTTACATGCTCAACCGTTCAATGATGCATGAAGAGACGATTGCACAAAGGATTTCTTTACCTGCCAGGATAGATGACTTTGAATCATCGTTGTTGATCATGAATCACTATACCCATGATCAAGTGCATTGACAATTGCATTTCCATGTTTCATGACGTTGGATGATTTTTCTGCACTGCAACTAAGTTCTTCCTCTGTCATGACATTTCCACAACGCTGCAGAAACCTAGTTAGAAATGAAACAATGTGCAGATGAATCTGATATCAATAAATGAGATGTTCTTCGAATCAATCCTGCCTTGTTTGGACAGTTCGCAATGCTACCATGCAACAGTAGTGTTCTTGTCGCATTTGGCTCTACAGAGGGGTGCCTTGTTCAACAGAGCAAGCACTCGATGATTGTAAACGAACGACAAACACTGTGAATCAATAAACAGAATTCCACATTCAGGTGATCATATCTTTATTACAAGCGTTTCAATCTGGGTAAAAGCACAACCGACCTCCTTGTAATCCTGACGACGTTCCATCTTTTGCCTGGCGAAGTTACTTCTGTGTTAACCAAGAAGCATGTGACATGTAGCCACATCATAAATGCTGTACGGCCTGGAATATCAGCATCTTCAAAGTGCTCGTGTTTGCTGTGACCGTATCATCTGCTTGGCAGCGGCTCATTGATGGACACACGATCTGATGCAAGTTCACACCAGTAATATTTAGATGATGCATCATGTGATCAAATGGCATAGACCTTGGTGATTTGCAACATGTTTCATCGTTCCAACACATCCTTGAAAACCGGATGAAGAATCCTTCACGAACCACTGGACTTGCTTGTTATCATTCGATAGTGCTGTGGATCATCGTGGTTTCAAGCAATCGAGCAGCCCACTGCTAAAATGCACTGTATGTCTTGCGAGCCTATCAGCCATCATCGTGAAAACATATGTTCTTGAGCTCACTGGTGACTGTACGGCTTTTGAACAATCCAGTCACCGTCGGATGATGATTCCCTGTCGTCTTGTGTGTAATCTCCATCCATCTACTCCAACTCAGTTTCCCTGTCATGCATCGCAGATAGCTTAGGGTATTTCACAACCCGGTTTCGATTGCAACGTATCCCTGTGATGGTGATTTTCACTTGTATTATTGATGCTCTTCGCTCACCAAACGATTTTTCGTGAGATCCACGCACTGTACGAAGCACTCCTCAAGGATCATCATCTCTACACCTCAGGAATTTCCCATGAGGAGGTTCGGTGAACATCTGATGTCTGCACACGCTGCCGCGGGCTCGCTGTTTGCGAGCCATGGGTAGGGCAGTACAGAGCGGTGCGACGTGCCCCGAACAAGGGGAGGCTCATGGCGTGTAGAGAGGTCGTTCAAACTTGTTTATAAAATTGTACCATAAGAAGGCTCTACAAATTAGTTAGTAGACTACCCCATGATCTCACTGCAACTTCTGGGGTGCAGCCCTACTTCTGTGTTTATACTCAACCATTCCACAGTACAGTTTAAAATATCTTATTGGAAAACAACATCAGAGTTATAAGGACCCTGTTTGAAATCCTCAAACACGCCACCCCCCAATCCACCTAGAAAGCAGAACAACCCCCTCACGGGAAAACATACAGCCCAAAGCAGAAAAAGCAAAATGTCAACGCTATGTACTGGCCGCGCCATAATTAGACGGTAGAGTCACCCGCGGCGGCCGGCCCGTGGCCCGGGCCGCCGGCCCGCCGGGCGCGCCCCCAGTGCGGCGCCGGGCGGGGATGATCACTGCCACCGTGACTGAGAGTGGTCCGCCGCCCGGCGCCGGGCCGGCGGGTGACTGCATCACGGGGCCAGTCCGACCGTACGGAAACTCGGAAAGAAACACCGATTCGACGTGTCGGCCACCGTATCATCCGTCATGCCCCGGTCAGCAAAGATCCTGACCGTCCCACGACATGTTACCTCGATTCATGGCATTGAATCTCGACCTTCCATCACGTTACCTCGTGCTCATGATTGGTATCGTGACGAAAGGTTCTCATGGCCCACGGATACCCATGTAATGGTATCCGTGGTTCAATGCAACACGAAACGATGTCATTTCAGTTTTCGAAATTCGTTCCGACGTGACTTGGAAACAGTCACGTTTTCATGGTAACGTGATGAGTGTAAGTCGAAAAGGGCGAAGCCTTCCCTTTCTACGGTACTACATTTTATGCTCCCACTTTGTAGCCTGAATTTGTACTTCCAAACTACCAAGATATTTACTTAATATTTTTTTGACAATGAAATATTGAGTCAATATTTATCACCATTTCCACAAAGTCTGCGATGTATTGCCCCACATGGAAAATCAAGGTTATTCCCCTGGTCCTCCCCTACTTCAATTCCCCACTCCCGTTGTTGCCACTGTCGTAGCCACAGCGCCGCAGTCACCACGTCCTCCTCCAGCCAAGACAGTGGCATCCCACAAGACCACGAGCAGCATCTGCTAGCACACGCACAAGACCTCGGAGAACAACAGCCCCCTGCGAACATGAAGCCTTCTGTCCATGTAGTGTTCCCCAGAAGAAAACGAGGGCAGTCGATGCCAACCAATCGCGATGCGATCGGGCTAGACGCCTCTTCCATCACGAGCCTCTTCCACCTCCGTCAGACTGAGGCAGCTAAGCACCTGGTACTGCCCCCTCCTCCCCTTTTCCTCCCCTCTTGATCCCTGACTCTCTCCGCAGGGCATCTCTCTTACCGCCATGAAGAACGCCTGCAGATCTCTCGGCATCAACAAGTGGCCTTACTCCCGTAACAGGGATCGACCTGCCTCCCTCTCCTCTCCTCCTTCGGCCTCGCCCCAGTCAGGCTCAGCTCCGTGCTCGCCCTTTCCTGACGGGGCAGGAAGCGTTTCCGCCCTCATCCCCTCGAGCGAGCATGCCCCGCCCTCCACGCTAGGCCAGCTTGGCGTGCAGTGCCGGGTCACCAGCCTGCCTCCTCCTCCGCCGTCCTTGGCTGCCGCCGCCGCATGCCCCCCGCCGCATGCCCTGTACCAAGCCTCTGCAGAGCTGGGCTGCAGCTACTCGCCTTGGCTCGCTCCCCCTGTGCAAGGCGTGCCGGTGGAGGAACAGACGGCAGTCACAACCGTGGCGCTTACGACGACCCTCAACGTGAGCATGGGAGCACCAGAGCTGACGCCAAGACACCGATGCGAGGGCCAGCACATGGGCGAGCACCATGACGGGGAGGAAGACTTGGGGAACGCTTGTGGGGGTGCGAGGGACGAGGGCTGGAGCAAGTCTTGGCTAGACTGGTACATCAATGTACCAATGGAGACAGACGAAGTCTGACTTTCAAGAGCAATCTTGGTGTCAACCTAGCCTTTTGTATCATCATGTAGATTTTTGTGCCGCGCGGCAGTGCTGAGTCATTGAATTTCTGGTACGGTACTAGTACCATCATGCCATGATGATAGCTCAGAGTCAGCCTGAGCACTGTGTCACTGCGGGTCACAGTTTTGCCGACCCTGTACCTTACTAGCCCGGGCTCAGCCTTGTCGGCCAGTCAAGTTCCTAGTTCAGTATCATATCAGTGTGCCATGATCAGTCAGTGACCGTACATGCCCGTCGGCGCGCCGCTGCGGCCCGGCCCGCCGCACTGGGGCCACCGCCGGTCCAGTCCGATCGGCGGCCTCTGCCCGGGCACTGCCGCCGTGACTCCCGGCGGGCCCGGCCGGGCTGACTGGGCCCGGCCGGGCCGGGCGGCTGACTGAGTCCGGCAAACTTGAAAGCGACTTCCGAAGCTCGGCCCTGCTCTCTAGACCTGCTTTCCTTCCCTTGAACCTAGGGTGGGGTAGTGAATGAGTAGGGTGTCTTCCGAAATAGGTCAACATGGGTGGGTACTTGAATATGAAATTATTGGATATCACAGGAGAAGAATGCTCTTGTTATACTAAGGGGTGGGTTCATGACACATATTGGAAGGGGTGGGGTGGTTTGGGGTGGGGTGGGCACTAGCTAGAGGCACCTGGGTGGCCGCAAGAAGCCGCATCCAACATGGCGGGGAAGTCGCGATGGAGCGAAGTGACGATGGTGATACCGACGCTCTCCCTGTCATGCTCATGTGAAGAGTACAGACACTTGTTCCTTGTGCTATCATCCGTTCCTCCTCCTCGTTGGATCCAGTTCTCCGTCTTCTTCATGCTCCCACCCGCATGCACCTTTTGGTTGCATTGCATTCGACCATTGGATTGCCGCTGACATGCTGCATGTTTGAGATCCTCATGGATATCAGTTTGCTTCTGCCTCAATGTTTGTCAGATTTCCATCCATCTCTTGCAAATAGTTCTTCCTCACCCGTTGTCGTTCCTCTACAAAGCTGATGTTGCGTAAAGTGATCACGTAGAGATTTGATCGTGCAGGTGTATCAGTCTTCAGAACTCGCTGCAGATGCTCAGATCTCGCTCATGTCTTTACAAACTCTGCCAAAATTCGATATCCCCGCACAATCCTCCTGTGAAACCTCGCGTGATGACCTCTTTGCATGTCACTTCCTGATATCAATATTCCCGTGTCCTTGTAGGAAGTTATCCTGAGCTCACTTGGTTCCGCAGGCTCCAGCTGATCCGATCTTGGGAGTCGCAGTAGCTTACAACGCTGACCCGTCGCCCAAGAAGGTCGCAAGGTGGAGCTCGAGGACCCTCAGGCTTATCCCTCTGCAGGTCAACCTGGGGATCGGGGCGTACCGAGACTCGGAGGGGAAGCCGCTTGTGCTGCAATGCGTGCGAGAGGCGGAGAAGCGAATCGCAAACGACGAGGCGCTGAACAAGGAGTACCTTCCTGTGCAGGTGACTGCTGATGCTGTCTCCTCCTCTTCATGTCTGACCCTATGGAAGGGCTTCGATCGCTTCCTCAAGATCACTCCTCAGATCATCTTCGGGAAGGTGAGAGCAGTAGGAGCATGAGGAAGAAGCATGCTAATGCTGATGCTCAGGACTCACCTGCTGTTGTGGAGGGAAGGGTGGCAGTCTGCCAAAGTTTGTCAGGTCTTCTCTTTTGCTGCTGCTGCTGCTGCCGCTCCTCCTCCTCCTCCTCCTCCTCCTCCTCCTCCTCCTCCTCCTCCTCCTCCTCCCGTCACTCTTTTTGGGTTGATCCCTCGTTTCGTGATGTCCTCCTGATACGTTCCTCGTCCTCCTCTGCCTTTTCTGCAATGCTCTCTGCCTCCCTTGCGATCACTGAGGGCCCTCGAGGAACCGGAGCTCTTCGTATCGCCGCCGAGTTCATCGCCATGTACAACCCGGGCACAATGGTGTATATCAGGTAGACGCGCAGCCCAGAGGGGAGCAGCTGACAGTACTCGCAGCAACCCCTCCTGGGGAAATCATCACACCATCTTCAAGAAAGCCGGGCTCAAGGTGTGGACGGAGAGAGAAGAGAAGGAAGCGAGGATAGGACAGACGCATTGGGGGGAGAGAGGCGGGAAGGGGGAGGGGAGAGGGTATGGGAGGAGAGAGGAGGGGAGGGGAGGGGAGGGGAGGGGAGGGGAGGGGAGGGGAGGGGAGGAGAGGGATGGAGGAGATCAGGCTGGAAGTGAAGGATCTTCATTATCATTATGTTAGACGACAACCTACAAGTACCTGAACAAGACCATGGGGCTCGATTTCGACGGAATGGTGGCAGACCTATCAGGTATGCACTTGTTTATGATAATTGAGGAGTCAATGGGCGACGCAATAAGATCGTATCATAGTTTTGTCATGTCATGTTATGTCATGTCATGTCATGTCATGTCATGCCATGTCTTGTCTTGTCTTGTCCTGCTGTGAAGCTGATTCATCTCAGCTGCTCCTAGAGGAAGTACTTTCGTCCTCCACACGGTGGCACATAATCCGACAGGTGAAATACAGGAGGAGGAGGAGGAGGAGGAGGAGGAGGATTAGGAGGAGGAGAGTTCGATGAGCATTTCAAGTCTGATTGCAATCTGTCAGGTGTTGATCCCTCACAGGACCAGTGGAAGAAGCTAGCAGACGTTTGCCAGGAGGCAAGTTGTCTCTCTCCTCTGTCGTCGAGGGACCCTTCCCCCTCCTCCGCTTCCTTGCTACTGTTGCTCCCCCCTCTACTTGCTCCGCCCTCTTCCTTCTCATCCCTCCCCTCTTCCTCTTTCTTTGCATGCCTTCAAACGTCTTGCTTTCTCACCTGCTGGTTCAGAGGGATGCCATCATAGTCTTCGACACGGCATATCAAGGTTACGCCAGGTGAAAAGACTCTACTCTTCCCGCTCCTCTCCACCGCCCCCCTTGAGGGAGGAGACAGCTGGGGGAGGGAGAAGTAGAGGGGGGAAGGAGGAGAGGAGCAGGAGAGGAAAGGAGGAGAGGGGGTGGAGAGGGGGTGGAGAGGGGGTGGAGATGGGAAGGAGGAGGGGAGTGGAGAGGGGAAGGAGAGGGGATGGAGAGGGGATGGAGAGGGGGTGGAGAGGGGATGGAGAGGGGGTGGAGAGGGGATGGAGAGGGGAGGGATTTGCTTCCCTCTGACTCTACTTGTGCTCGTCAATTGTCAGTGGAGATCTCGAGCGAGATGCGTGGGCTGTGCGATATTTCGCAAACACGCGGGGACTTGAACTCATGGTCACTCAGGTACAGCAGAAGCGCCTCTGTTGCTGTTGCTGCTGCCTCTCCTTGCTCTCCCTCCGTCTGTCTCCCCTCGCTTATTCTGTTCAGTCATATTCCAAGAACTTCGGACTCTACGGCGAGCGCATCGGAGCCTTGAACGTGGTAGGGCGAGGAGTGACAGGAGGATGGGGAAGGGAGAAGGGAAGCAGCGAGGGAGGAGAGGAGGTGATGATATGTGCGCAGGCTGTCAAGAGCAAGGACACAGCCGCTAAGATTAGTTCCCAACTGAAGGGCATCGTGAGCTGCTTGCCTGCTGGTCGCTTCCTCCTCTCTTACTCCCCTCCTCCGCAGGTTCGTCCCATGTACTCCAACCCGCAGCTTCATGGCGCGCGACTAGTCACATGGGTGAGGCGGAGGAGGCGGAGGATGTGGGAAGTGGATAGGGGAGGGGGAGAATGGAAGCGGATGGAGGGGAAGGGGGAGAGGAAGGAGAAGGAGCAAGAGGCGAGAGGCGGAGGAGGAGCAAGTGGCTGGGGGCAAGGGAAGCTGACACATAGCGGGCAGGTCATGGAGGATCCTGCCTTGAAGGCGCTGTGGGAAAAAGAGCTCAAGGTTATCCACCCCTCCTCCTTCCCACCCTCAAAGACACAAAGACACTGCTGCTGCTGCTGCTGCCTCTGCTGCTGCCTCTGCTGCTGCCTCTGCCGCTGCAGCTGCATCTCCTCCACCACCACTTCCTCACCCCAGCTGCAGGAGATGTCCGATCGTATCACGGAGATGCGATCCTCGTTGGTTGCTGCACTGGTCGAGATCAACTGTCCTCCTCCTAACGCCAACTTCCGGTAGCACCATCCTCCTGCGACTTCTCTCCACTCATACATCTCCTCCTCCTCCTCCCCCTCCTCCCCTTTCCTCCTCCCTACTCCTCCCCCTCTTCCTCTTCCATGCTGGATCTTGTGCTGGTCAGAGGAGCTGAGGGTCGAGCAGGAACTGGAACCACATCACCTCGCAGATCGGCATGTTCGCCTTTACTGGGCTGAGCGAGAAGCACTGCTCCCTGCTGACGGGGAAGGTGAGAGGAAGAGGAAGAGGAAGAGGACGAGGAAGAGCAAGAGGAAGAGGAAGAGGAGGGGGAGGGAGGAGAGGAGGGAGGAGAGTGACAGGGATGTTTCAGCATCACATCTACTGCACTAAGAACGGAAGATTCTCCATGGCTGGAGTGAACCCAAGTAACGTCAAGTACATCGCAGCCGCGATGAAGGACGCAATCAACTCCTGCTCGAAGCTTTGAGCCTCCTCCTCCTCCTCCTCCTCCTCCTCCTCCTCCTCCTCCTCTCTCCTCTCTCCTCCTC